TCTGTGCACAAATGGGCGAAATCATTTAAATTGCCGTACGTCCTTCGAACTTGTTCACCATCCCAGAAGCTGCTCACCAGGATTGGTTGGTTCAAGCTTACAAAGGGGTCTTTGAGGTTATGGAGCGCTTTCTCGAAACGAAATGAATGTAGGGGTACGAATCAGCTTTCTCCTGTGATTTTTCACTTCCTTTTCTATGAACTGCCCTTCTAAGATTCATGCCTGAACCCTCACAACATACAATAACCGGTTTCTAAAAGCCTAAAATTCCGAAAAGTGCTAAGTGACACTAGAGGTCTCCTTGCATGCACGTGGGCATTCCCTTCCCGACGTCAAGAGGACTCTGGAAGATGCTAAGCCACTGTAAAGAAAATTACTACATCTTGGCACTTGTAAACTCTCGTGAAGCTGCAAGATGCTGCCAAAGAGCCACTTTGACTGCAAGAATTTACAAAGTAGCCTGAGTGCTCTTCGGCACCCCCACGAAGCCGCATTGCGAATCGAAAAAATAGGCCATTTCTCAAAGTTCCACGACCAATTTTTCTTACTTTGTTAGCTATTTCCCCGCGCAGTTTCCGATGTGAATTTTGCAATAAAAACGATGAGTTCAAGCCAAACGTCCGTCCTCTGAAGGGAACGATTGGTCCTTATCCCTTGGTAGTGCCCTTTCGATGACAGATTATTCCCTCATAAATTCTTGATAAGATAAGAGCATGTTCAATAACTCTGTTGCAGTGCCGAAGACGACGACTACTGGGATCATTCAATCAAACGAGAGGATGAAGACTATGAAGCTCCAAAGGTTGCCGAGTCAAATGAGCAAAGCGATCTCACGCCAGGTAGGTACTTTGGAGCAATTGTGACTACCTAACGTCGTTGAATGGCATTGTACAGCTGCGGAAAAAAACTTTTAACAAGACACAAAATCGCGTTTCAAACAATTCTAAACAGCAATACAGCGGAAAGGTGAGCAGATAGCGAGAATTCACCGGAAAAAAACTATATACAGCGTCCTGAATTTGGTTTCCTTACTAATGGATTTGATTAGAGCCTTCATCATCCATGGAATCGACTCCACAGGAGCTCCAGAGGTATCCACGGATATTCGCCTCTAAATTCCTCAGAATGCATGTGTGACTGCTCACTCGTAGTGGTGATCGTCTTCCCTTCAACCCATGCTTCAAGTCATCTTGAAGATGCCTGATGGGGTTAAGGAGAAAGCTTTACTCGGCCATTTCGTCATCCTGATGCTGACATTTGTTACCGTCAGGTTATGGTAGCCTACGAATTGCTGCAATACGCCGAATCAGCCCGTCTCAGGGCACTTGTCAACCGGGAAGCCTCTCTTCTCTTTCCTTTTTTCTTCCTGCTTTCTTCTTTTCCTTCCTCCCTTCTCTGATGCATCCTCCTTTACCTTTTCCCTTCAACTCCTGGACTGTTAAATGCCTCGAGAAAATACTCTGGACCATCGCAGCGAAAGCACGTCTGGTTGTCAAGTGCCCCGTAAGCGAATCAGCCAGCCGAAATACTCTGTTTCTGCGTGTGGGATTCCTCCGCATCACTAAACGCTGCGCCGAGTTTCACTTGATGCTTCCTGCTTCTTGGGAGCAAGGCGCCTACAATTCAGGCAGAATAGATGGATGCGAGCGGATCGCCTTTATTTGGAAGAGAAGCGATAGAGAATGGGCCACAGCTCGCCTTAATAGGGGCATTTTCTTGTTCCTGTCGATCATTGCCGATGCTTCATTTGGAGACTAGTTAAATTTTGTAAAGCTGTCCAGCAGCATGAGCGTCGTTTATACGTGACAAAGTGAAACGGGTAAGTAACCAGGCAATTAGCTTGAAGTAGCAAACTACGAAAAATGCCCACCCCTGGATGAGGAGTGCCGAGAACTGTAATGTGGCACAAGGAGCGGAATGAAATTCCTGAGAGTTACAGTCGTCATCCTTGCACTTGATAGGGGCGTGTCGGCGAGAAGGAGCGTGCACACTGTTTGAAGCCTTCTCAGCCTTTTCGTTGAAACGCGTATGCGACAAAAAGTGATAGAAAACGAGTAACACGAAGGATATAATACAGTAATGTCACTTCCTGGTTCAACGATTGGTGCAGTACGGGTGCGGGCGACCGCGCCGCACGCAGCCGCACTGACATTGACTATCAAGTGCAAGGATGACGACTGTATATGAGCGCAGCGTATGGAAGTGGAGAAGTCTAATAACTCCTTCTTGGGTACTTCCAGTACATTAACGGGGCAGCAGAATGAGCGGTAATGGTCTGTAAAAAATAGGTCACACCCTTTCCTGCTCTCCTGTGCTTTTTCAGAAGGATTTCAGGTGAGTTTATACGCCGTTTAGGACGCAGACCAAAGTGTCTTGTCACCAAAATATTTTCTCTTTGTTATGGAGTTGTTCAGAGGGCATTTTCTCGTAGGCAGCGTTGGCCGAGTTTCGAGGGGCAGAAAAGGAGTGGGGAAAAGTAAGACGAAGGATGGAAGAAGAAGCCTAGTCGATTAACGACATTGTTTCGAGATCGCTGAAACTCGTTTGCACCTTCCAGGGCACGTTGTATGTCAGGGATCTATGTCAGGGATCCCAGCGAGGGAGAGTGGGGTCGTATTTGGTTGCTGGCAAGAGGGAGGTCGTATTTACTCTTGGAAGAATACTTCTGGTTGTTGACTTTTCCTGACTTTTCTGTTTCGAGAGCACTAAATATCATCCCATCCCTCCCCTTTCCCATCACTTGACATCAGTTTTTTGGAGAAAAAGTGAAGGGACTCTTGGAAAGAAACTCCGGGAAAGCGGTAGGCAACTGGGAACATTTATGAAGATTGTAGGTGTGATGAAAGGGGGAGAAAGAGAGGTCCGAAAGGGGTCGTATTTTTGAAAAATTTTCCCCAACGGCAGCAAGTGCCCACTCCAACTAACTTAGTACGTGCAGCGAGAATGAGTACGATTAGGGTACGGATAAAATACTCCAGTGAAGAAAGTCAAACGTCTTTTTAGCTCCATCGAAGACAGACGGTGTGCGAGAGTTCACCGCTGAAGAGGGCGAAGAAGGCTGGATGATGATGAAACGAGTGGACGATAACTCGTCCACGACCTCAGCGCTTACGCTTTGCATAGCTACCGTAATCCTAGTCGCCAGGTTATGGTAGCCCTCAA